TTGTTGGAATCAAGAAACTCAACAACAACAACTACAACACGTGGGCAACATGCATGATGTCCTATTTACAAGGACAGATCTTTGGGAGATCGTTGGCGGGTGCGAAACCACGCCGCTAGAGGAGGATTCTAACGGCGCCTTGCGCAAATGGAGAATCAAAGCAGGTAAAGCAATGTTTGCCTTGAAGACCACAATCGGAGAAGAGATGTTAGAACATATTTGAGATGACAAGACATCGAAAGAAGCATGGGACACGTTCGTGATGTTGTTCTCAAAGAAGAACGGTACGAGACTACAACTTCTGGAGAATGAGTTGTTGTCAATTTCACAATGTGACATGACGATTGCTCAGTACTTCCACAAGGTCAAGTCGATCTGTCGGGAGATTACTGAACTAGACCCAAAGTCCGCAATTGGAGAAGATCGAATGAAAAGATCATAATCCACGGATTGCGACCAGACTATTGAAGCTTCATTATTGTTGTACAAGGATGGCCCACTCAACCATCACTTGTAGAGTTCAAAAATTTGTTAGCTAGCCAAGAAGCCATGGCTAAACAAATGGGAGACATCACATTTAAGGGTAAAGAAGAAGTACTCTACATAAGTGAAAGTCGGAGCAATAATAGGTCGTCTACCAAACGTAGATACAATGGTGACAAAAGAAAAAGTCTCCAAAGTACTGTACAACCAAGGAGAGCTCAGAAGAACGATAACAATAACTCTCAAGAGAAGAGATTTAAAGTCATCTGCTACAATTGCGGGAAAAAGGGCCACATGTTCAGGGATTGTTAGTCTAAGAAAAATTCAATTGAAAGCAATGTGGCAACATCCAAAAAGGAGATGGAGAAGGAATGGGATACAGAGGTACTATATGCAATAGAAGAAGATGAGCTAGCACTCATGGCGATGACGGGAGACCTCAACCAAGCGAACCTAGTGAAAAATAAAATGACACCTCAACAACTCAGATGGTCAGAAATAATCCTAAAGCCAAACCCAGAGTATGCCAACGCAGTAGAAGACGAAGTTAATGAGCTGGAGACATATGAAGAAGTATCACAGAACTCACCTTGAGAAAAAGTGATGGAGGAAGAAATTATAGCCCTGGAGCAAAATCAAACTTGGGAACTAATATCAAGACCAGAAGATGTCAAATCCATCTCTTGCAAGGGGGCTTATGAAATAATGTCTCTCGGATGGATCACTCGAAAGATATAAGACTCAATATGTAGCTCAAGGGTTCTCTCAAAAATATGAACTAGACTATGATGAAACGTTTTGTCCAGTGGCGAAGATAACTATCATACAAGTTCCTCCAGTACTTATGGTAAATAAAGATTGGAAATTATGACAGATGGATATGAAGAATATTTTCCTGAACGATGATTAAACAAAGAGTTCTACATGAACCAACCGAAGAAATTTGAAAATGAAGTTGGAGTCATTAGTCAATAAATGCAAAGTCCGAAGAAGCTTTATTTGGATGCAGCTCGACAGACCTTGAGATATGTCAAAGGTACAATCAATTACGATCGTTTGTACAAAAGAAGCGAAGACTGCAAGCTAGCTGGATATAGTGATGTCGACTATGCAGGAGACCACGATACCTAAAGATCAATCACTGGGTATGTGTTCAAGCTTGGTTCGAGAACAATTTTGTAATGATCTAAAATAAATAAATAAATGTGTATGTGTTGTATTGATATTTAATAGTAATAATAATTATTATTATTATGGTAATTATGAAATAAATTAATTAATTATTATTTTTTTAAAAAAAGAGTTGTTGCGTTGGGCAGCTGTTGTAATGGAGGGAGAAGATAGTGACACACGTGGGTTGGAGATGTCCAAACGTTGAGGAGAGAAGGGTTTGTGAGTCGGTGAAAATCTTTTGCAAAATTATGATTGGTTGTCGGAGTTTGTTATTGAAGTTGATGGTAACTCCTGTAAATCGTGTTATCGATGAGCGGGTGTTACAGTTGGTATCAGAGCCTAGATTATGGGTTCTGTAGATAGTCTAGAATAGACAATATGAATTCCTCTAGTCCAGCTCAGTGGTATCTCGTCTTGGTCAGGTAAGTGATGCCTAACTAAAATGTATGAAAGAATCGTATGAATAGTTTAAATGAATTGATTATGACCACTTAATTATGTGTGACAGATATGGTAGTATTTAAGAGTTTAGACCTTGGTACGTCCAATGTGGACCCCGAGAATGAGGAGCAGCCTGTAGAAGGAACTACTCCAGCAGAGGCAGATCCAAAGCCTGCTGCTCCGTCAGCATCGAGATATCAGCCGACTATTGTGATTACTTTGGAAGCACTGTAATCATTGATTGATAGTCGAGTAGATCGGGCGGTGCAGAACCGTGTGGATCAAGCAGTACAGGAAGCTCTTGCTAGTCTTGGAAGCCAGGCGGCTCCGACAACATCTATATCTAGCCAGGCGACTCCAGTCTCTGAAGCACCAGCAGTAATACCTCCAACAAGTTCGACGGAGCTACCTGGTACAGGGTGGTGACAGAGGCACCACCGCAAGTAGTAACTTATGGGCGACAATGTATGACGGAGGAAAGTGAGTATATATGAGATTTTATGAAACTTACCCCGCCAACTTTTGGAGGAAAGGGGACTGATCCTGAGGCGGCTGAATGGTGGTTAGAATGTATTGAAACAAAGTTTACATTCTTTAACTGCCCAGAGAATCATAAGGTGCTGTGTGCTACATATTTGTTGGAAGGACCCACCCATTTTTGGTGGAAATCAAAGAAGCCAAAGATGAAGGCTGGTGGAGCCCCAATCGCATGGGCGACGATCAAACATGAGTTTTGTGAGAAATACTATCCTGCTCTAGCGAGATTGTGAAATCGAAAGGCCTTTATGCAACTGGAACAGGGTAATATGTCAGTAGAGGAGTATGAGGCGGAATTCACTCGATTATCTAGATTTGTTGCTCTTATGGTTGCTACTGAAGAAGAGAAGACGGATCTCTTTATCCAGGGTTTGAGGCAAGAGATACAGAGATCCATGTCTGCTCCTGCTTCTCAAGATTTCGTTACCGCTTATAATGTTGCGATGAAATTAGATGCTACCACCGCGAGGAGCAATCAGGGTTCTAGCAGTCAGATGCGGCCAAGTGGTAAACAAAAATTTACTCAAATATCCTCGAGTTTGCAACAATAGGTAGTACCGCGATGAGTTGATCGTCAGCCTTCCTCAGGTGATGGGAAGGCAGTTTGCAGTAAGTGCGGGTTAACTCATGCGGGATCTTGTAATGCTGCAAACAAGACATGTTATAACTGTGGTAAGATTGGTCATCTCGTTAGAGTGTGTCGTAGTGCAAAGAATTCTAATGTGATACGCCCCGAGCGATTCGCTCTAGGAGGAGGAGGTCAATTGAGTGCTGGGGGACAGCCTCAGGCTCGAAGTAAAGCCTTTGCCACGACGAGCAAGGCAGCAGAGAATGCCAGCACAGTGGTGACAGGTACTTTACCCCTTTATGGCTACTTTGCTTATACTATGTTCGATTCTGGCTCGACGCATTCTTTTATATCATTATCGTTTGTTCGTCAAGCCCGACTTGGAGTAGAGCCTTTAGGTTATGAGGTTCTCGTTTCTACACCTTCAGGAGTCATACTAATGACTCGTGCAAAGGTGAAACTGGATAAAGTAGAAGTATCCAGCCAACCATTAGAGTATTATTAATGGTGCTAGATATGTATGATTATGATATTATTTTGGGCATGGATTGGCTATTTGCTCATCATGCCAGTATCGATTGTTATAAGAAGGAGATAGTTTTTCACCCTCAAGGGGAAGAGCTTCTAGTTTTAGGGTACGAAGCCGGGAAGTGTTCCCAAGACTAACTACTTTAAAGGCTAGGAAGTTGATTAGCCACGGTGCTGTGGCATTCTTGGCTAGTGTGGTAGAAGTGAGACGGGTTGATACAGATGTATCAGCTATACCTATGGTGAATGAGTTCCTAGATGTCTTTTCTGATGAGTTGTCTGGCTTGCCACTAGAGCGGGAAGTCAACTTTGGCATTGAACTTGAACCAGGGACGACACCTATCTCTAAACCTCCTTATAGGATGGCTCCCGCAGAATTGAAAGAGTTGAAGCTCCAATTACAGGAGTTGTTGAATCAGGGGTTCATACGACCTAGCGTATCACCGTGGGAAGCTCCAGTGTTGTTCGTGAAGAAGAACGATGATACACTCTGTCTTTATATTGATTATAGGGAGCTGAATAAGGTGACCATTACAAATAAGTATCCCTTGCAGCGAATTGACGACTTGTTTGACCAGCTTCAAGGGACAGCGATATTTTTGAAGATTGATCTTCGTTTTGGTTATCACCAGATAAGAGTCAAAGAAGAGGACATACTGAAGATGGCTTTTCGTACTCGGTATGGGCATTATGAGTTTTTCGTGATGTCCTTTGGCTTGACTAATGCCCCTGCAGTATTTATGGAGCTGATGAATCGGGTATTCCAGGATTTTCTGGATTCTTTTGTCATTGTGTTCATTGATGATATCTTGGTTTATTCCAAGACAAACGATGAACATGCAGAACATTTGAGGAAGGTTTGTTGGTTCTATGTGAACAAAGATTATATGCCAAATTCTCAAAATGTGAGTTTTGGTTTCAGAAGGTAGTATTTCTTAGTCATGTGGTATCCAAGGATGGTATAGCTGTTGATCCAGCAAAGGTGGAGGCAGTTATAGGTTAGGCTCGACCAACTATAGTTAGTGAGGTGAGAAGTTTCCTGGGTTTAGCAGGATACTACAGGCGGTTTATTAAGGACTTCGTAAAGATTGCAGCACCACTGACTCAGTTAACTCGAAAATGAAAGAAATTTGATTGGAGTCGAGCTTGTGAAAGTAGTTTTCAAGAACTCAAGGAAAGACTAGCGTCAGCCCTAGTGCTTATTGTACCTGACGGTACTGGGAATCTAGTAATTTATAGTGATTCCTCTAAGCATGGGTTGGGCGTACTTATGCAGAACGAGAGAGTTATTGCTTATGCCTCTCAGCAGTTGAAGGATTATGAATGCAACTACCCAACTCATGATTTAGAGTTAGCTGTTGTGGTGTTTGCTCTAAAGATATGGAGACATTATCTGTACGGTGAGAAGATACAAGTATATACAGATCATAAGAGTCTCAAATATTTGTTCACCTAGAAAGAGCTCAACATGAGGCAACGTCGATGGTTGGAGTTAGTGAAAGACTATGATGTGGAGATCCTACATCACCCTGGTAAAGCTAATGTGGTAGCTGATGCCTTGAGTCGTAAGACAGCTCACTCATCTGCAATGTTGACGAGACAACCCAACATTCAAATGGAGTTTGAACGAGCTCAGATAGCTGTGTTGGTCAAGGAAGCGACAGCTCAGCTAGCTCTTATGACTATCTGTCCGATGTTGCAGCAACAAATTATTCAGGGTCGACAAAGGGACCCTTATTTTGCAAAAGTCGTGAAGCAACTTGAGACTGAACAAGTCAAGGATTTCTTGATAACGGGTGATGGATGTTTGAAGTGGTGAAATCGAACTTGTGTGCCAAATGATGTAGAGATCAATAGGAAGATTCTATTAGAGGCACATGAGTCTCCCTATACCGTACATACAGGTGCCATAAAGATGTATCAGGACTTGAAAACATGCTTTTGGTGGCCTGAAATGAAGAAAGATGTATGTTGAACATGTGAGTAGGTGTTTAACTTGTCAACAAGTTAAGCCACCTAGACAGAAACGTATTGGATTATTGCAACCTCTCAATGTGTCCCAATGGAAGTGGGAAGAAGTGACCATGGATTTCATTATAGGGCTACCTAGAACCCAGTCAGGGTTTACAGTCATATGGGTTATTGTGGACAGATTAACTAAGACAGCTCATTTTGTACCAGAAAAGTCTACGTATTCAATTGACAAGTGGGCACAATTGTATTTAAAGAAGTTTGTAAGGTTGCATGATGTACCCGTTTTTGTTGTGTCTGATAGGGATGCACGGTTTACTTCTCGATTCTGGAAGAGTCTTCAAGAAGCCCTTGGTACACAATTGAAGTTTAGTACACCATTCCATCCTCGTACAGATGGACAGACAGAGAGACTAAATCAGATTCTCAAGAACATGTTGCATGCATGTGTACTTGATTTTGCTGGCAGTTAAGACACCTACCTATATTTTGTGGAATTTGTCTATAACAATAGTTATCAGGCAACCATTCAATGGCTCCTTTTGAGGCGCTTTATGGATGGAGGTGTCGAACTCCGATTTATTGGGAGGAGGTAGGTAGTAAACAGCTGTTAGGTCCAGATTTGCTACGGACGACCAATGAGGCGATTCAGAAGATTAGGAAGAGAATTTTGACCACCCAAAGTCGTCAAAGAGTTATGCTGATGTTAGAAGGAAGGGCCTAGAGTTTGAGATGGGGGACCATGTGTCCCTGAAGATTGCACCAGTTCATGGTGTTTTGCGATTTGGTAAGAGGGGAAAGCTTAGCCCGCATTTTATTGGACCTTTCGAGATCCTCGAAAGAGTTGGCCCAGTAGCCTATAGGTTGGCATTACCACCAGCATTGGATGTTGTACATAATGTTTTCCATATTTTGATGCTGAGGAAGTATGTTGCAGATCCTATGCATATTCTTCATTATGAAGACTTGGAGTTAAAGAGGACTTAAGCTATGAAGAACAACCTGTTAAAATTTTGGCGCGGGAAGTGAGATCTTTGCATAGCAGAGATATTCCCTTTGTTAAAGTTTTATGGAAGAATCAGCAAGCTAGTGAAGCTACTTGGGAAAGAGAGGAGGAGTTTAAACGAGAATATCCATACTTGTTTATAGAGCTAGAAACTTTCGAGGACGAAAGTTGTTGAAAGGAGGGTAGAATTGTAATGATCTAAAATAAATAAATAAATGTGTATATGTGTTGTATTGATATTTATTAGTAATAATTATTGTTATTATGATAATTATGAAATTAATTAATTAATTAAGTAATTAAAACAAAAACAGATGTTGCATTAAGCAGCTGCTGTAATGGAGGGAGAGGATAGTGATACACATGGGTTGGAGATGTCCGAACGTTGAGGAGAGAAGGGTTTGTGAGTTGGTGGAAATCTTTTGCAAAATTATGATTGGTTGTCGATGGTAACACCTATAAATCGTGCTATCAATGAGCGGATGTTGCAAATTTCTTGGTGTAACAAGAAACAACCAATTGTTTCATTGTCAACTAGAGAAGCAGAGTATAGAGTAGTGGCGGGAGCAGCTCAAGAATGTACATGGCTAAAACTTCTGATAGAAAGATTGGCACCAGAAAGTTGACTATTCGATACCACTTCAATACGACAACCAATTTGTGATTCGTCTAGTAGAATATTCAATGTTTCACGGCAAGACAAAGTAATGTGGAAGTGCACTGCTATTTTATTGGAGACAAAGTCTTGAAGGAATAATACAGAGGACCAAATGGCAGACTTGTCTACAAAATAGCTGAATACTTGCACACAAGAGAGTTTTTGTTGTGGTGCAGAATGAGGACAAGTGACGAGTGGAGTGTTAAAATATGATCATTAGTTAAGCCCAACCATGGTATGAGTGGCTCTATTTATGTTAAGAGAGGATTTTAAGAATAAATTTTTAGGGATTTTAGGAATAAATTTAGGAAAATGAGTTAGATACTTTATAAAAAAAACATTATAAATTTGAAGAATAGATTCTCTATAAATACTCTTCCACCCTACTTAGTTTATCATCCGAATAAATCTCAAGCAATATTATATAAAGTGTCTTGTATTCTCTTCTCACTTGATCGCGAATGTTTCCCACGCACTAAAGTTTCTAGTCTTGAATGATTTTTTAATATCCGGTTCTCATCTTGCTCTAGATAGCACACTCGTGCTAACTTTCACCATCCTCAATTTACTATTTCAGTAAGAGTAATTGGACAAGGGATACAGAGCTTCATCACGATCTTTGGTTTCGTACAACAAGGTTCAAATCTCTATCTTTAGTCCAAACATCAACCATACGCTTCACATTTCAGAGTTGAATTGCGTTCCAAGTAGTTCATTCCTTCCTAGCTTTCCCTCACAACCCGTTTTACCAAAATATTTCATTGCTTTGGGGCTCATTGAAAGGTCGTTTAACAATCTACTAGCCAAACATTTTGTCAGACCTTTGAATCTCAATTTAGGTTGTGGTTACTTCTCCATTGTCTTAGTGAAAGGGCGTTGAAAATTCTGTTGTATGCCCTCTCCCGTCTACCATGATGCACTATGGGTCTGCAAGTTTATTTTCTTGTCTTCCGCATTAGCCGCATTGATGCTTCTCAAGGCTTATGTCGATGCCCAACCTAGTTAATGCATCAACACCATTACCTTTTTATTCTTATCGCTTACATACTCCTTACCAACTCATCTAGAGTTGGGCATATTCTCGTATTAGTGTCCTTACTATATTATACCACTAGTAGTAGGTTTTCAATCTTGACACGAGGCATAGGTAACCACCTCAAATGTCATGCCTATATGACAGTTTAGCTTTTCTATTAGATACTAGTAAATATCTATCACCAAGTTATGTCTCTCTCAAGCGCAGCTCAGTCCTCATGCAATGACCATCTCTAGTGTTATTCAAGACTCATTCTGATTTCCCCCTTTCAACGCTTCGTGGTTTAGTAAGAGGGCTTTTCTCGCTATCGCCATCAATGCCCCAAGAGTTGCAAGCTATCTTCTTGTCCCTCAACACCGCCTATGATGTGATTATTGTTTTGGTTCTTCCCTTGGAGTGGACCAAGGTTTTACTAACACTCATAGTCCCTGCAACGTCAGTCAGTTAGAATTCACATCTTGTGTTAGTTCTTGTAAGTTTCACATCTAAATGTGTTCACCTTCTACTCCCTTGGCCATTCTATTTGGGGAATAACTCACTCAATGCTCAACCAGGTCACCAGGGAGATTATCTTCCTGAATATAGGTGATAGGGAGTTCATTGCTTGTCCGATTCCATGTTCCCATGTTGACACGTCGCACCACATCATGTGGGGAAACTGTTCATTTATGTCTCATCCTCAGCCTTGAGTATCGAGCTTAACTCTTTCATCTGTGATACTATACTTATTATCGGACACATCCTTGAGTAAGACTCTTCCATTGTACCTTGGTGGGGTAATTTGTGTTTCCATGATAAGAGTGTGGTTGAGACTACGTGAGTCCATCTTGAGTTTTAGGATCGCCTTGGGCAGTCCTTTTTAATTTTTTTTTTTTTTTTTTTTTTTACTATGGCCTATTCAGATCTTCCCATTAGACATCCAAATTAGAGGAATTTTCAGACTCTTGTAGCAATACGACAACAACGGTTGTGTATCACTTGTTCTAACCCAACGAATAAGTTAATTATGTGAGATTTAGACTTCGTTTACAATATTGGCGTGTGCTCAAGCCTTGGATTCCATTTGAGAGAAATGTTTTAGAAAAAAGTGAGAAAGAAAATACATTAAAAATATATATTTTTTTTTTAAATAATGTTATAGGCTAAAAGCGAATAAGCAACAACTACAACTTTGATAGCATATAACCCGAGTAAGAAGAATTAACGATTAGTCACATCACCTTATAGTACATTTTGAGGCATTTTAGCCTTGGGTAGTGTAGACACGGAGGATAGTCATACACATCCGTATTGATATGACAAGAATAGTAAAAATCTAACAATAAATGAAAGCAAGTAAATTGGGTTTGGTATGGGCATGCGGCCATGGACAACACATCCTTGACATGCATGACCAAGAATCCGACACGTGGCCATAAGCAACACACCTTGGACAAGCATGACCATGACATTCTTCCTCACTCAATTGGTCAATGCCCCTGTCAATCAACTCTTCACAAACTCAGCAATATAGGATGAGGTTGGCTTCATATCTCTCGACGTGTTTCTAGCTAATCTCTGCTTTAAGGAGTCTCTTCCAATATTTCAGGAACGGTTAAAAATCATTTCTTGGTTCTTCAACTCTTCATGCCTTCTTAGCTAGAATCTCTCCGGCTTTCTTTGTAGTGGAACATTTCTTCGTGGCATGAGGTCGTACCACCTCATGGTGTCTTTTGTCTTCGAGATCAGGATAGTAACCTTCAAGTTATGACGTGGACAACAGAGCTAGTCCATCAGAGCAATTGGATCCTATATTATTTCTTTCCGTTCTTCTGGATGACTTTGACTAGTCCATAGTATTTTCGCATCAGTTGATGGATCTTGGTTTCTTGAAACAAGAGTTGATCTGACCTTAACTTATTTGGAACTCTTTCTCCATTTTGGAATTATTGTGGTCGACGCTTCCGACTAGCCATTCTTTTCATCTATCTAGATGGTCTTCTTGAATAAACATGATTTGTTTCAGAGGTTTGTCTCCCTCTCACCCTTCAACGAATGTGTTGACTTGGTGTCTCTCCCTAGCATGGGTAACCAATGACAAGAGTCTCTATAGGTCTCATGGACCCAACTTTCAACAAGACAGTTAGTTGTTTGTGGAACTTACGTAGTTTAGGTTGAGTTGTATGACACACATATGTGGCAGGCGATCTCGCCTCCGTCAACTATAGTTCCTACATTAGTTTTACCCCTTTTAGTTGACGGGTGTTTGTCTGAATGATTGTTGGGTTGGATCTCGTTACTACTAAGCATTTTGCTAGGGGCATAGGAATGACTTTTTGTTTTAGTAAGAAGTCTATCCCTAACACGATGTCAAAGTCATCCATCTTGACTACCACAAAGTTGGTTTGTCCAATCCAAATCTTTAGCTTGATCGGAGTTCTCTTTGCAACTCCTAAAACAAGTAAAGCTACCGAATTAACGAGTTTTATCTTTCCTATATCTTGATGCCAAAGGATGTTCAAGCGTTTTACTCCGATCTTTGCCATGAAGTTCTGGGTGGTTTAAGAGTTGACAATGGTGTTTCTGGCCGCTTTGCAGTTAACCCAAGTCTCGACATACATAAGACCATGTTCCACTGATTTTTATATCTTTTTCCAATCTCTTCTAGAGAGTGGACGGGTAATTTTGTGCTCACATGTGGGGGTGTTCAACGTTCTCAAGTAACAGTATTCAGTTTTTGTCATCTTGTACTTAGCTTCTAAGTTCATTCCAAATTTTTTTTTTGGAAGGCAAA